GAAGTTGGTTTTTTGAAAAGATTAGTAAAATTGACAAACCACTGGCAAATTTAAAAAAAGGAAAAGAGAGAGAATACATATAACACAAATGAGAAATGAAATGGGCAACATCACCACAGAACCAACTGAAATAAAAAGGATAATACCAGGATACTATGAAGAACTGTACTCCAACAAATTTGAAAATCTAGAAGAAATGGACAGATTTCTAGAAACACACTACTACCTATACTAATACAGACAGAGGTGGAAAAGTTGAACAGATCCATAACAAAAGAAAAAATTGAGCAGCTCATAAAAAAATTAGCAACAAAAAAATATCATATCCCAGACGGTTTTACCAGAGAATTCTATCAAACATTCAGATGAGAACTGACACCAGTCCTACTCAAACTATTCCAAAACATAGAAAAGGATGGAATCCTCTCAATTCATTTTATGAAGCAAGTATAACCTTGATACCAAAACCAGAAAAAGACATCACTTAAAAGGAAAATTGCAGACCAATATCCCTCATGAATATAGATGCAGAAATCTTCAACAAAATCCTAGCCAATAGATTCCAACAATATATCAAAAAAATAATTAATTACAACCAAGTGGGGTTCATATCAGGTATGCAAGGATGGTTCAACATTAGAAAAACAATCAACGTCATCCACCACTTACATAAAACAAAGGAAAAGAAACACACATGACCATATCAATCAATGGAGAAAAGGCATTTGATAAAATCCAACACCCATTCCTGATTTAAAAAAAAAAAAAAAAACTCTCAGCAAAATAGGGACATTCTTCAATATAATAAAGGTCATCTATGCAAAACCAACAGCCAACATTATGCTCAGTGGAGACAGACTGAAACCATTCTCCTTGCCAACAGGAACCAGACAAGGATGCCCTCTGTCACCGCTTCTATTCAACATTGTATTGGAAGTCCTAGCCAGGGCAATAGGGAGCTCTGGTAGTATAGTGCCTAAGGCACTTGACTGCTAACCAGAAGGCTGGTGGTTCAAACCCATCAGCCACTCTCAGAAGGAAGGTTGGGCAATCCTACTTCTGTAGTGATACTGCCTCGGAAACCCAAGGAGGGGTCGCTGTGAATCGGGGCCGACTTGACGGCATATAACAACAACAGCCAGGACAATAAGGCAAGAAAGAGAAATCAAAGGCATCCTGATTGGTAAGGAAGAAGGAAAACTATCCCTTTTGGTGAAGATATGATCCTAAACCTAGAAAACCCAAGACTCACTCAAAAATCTACTGGAACTAATTGAGAGATTTAGCATTATGACAGGATACAAGATCAACATCCAAAAATCAGTTGGATTCCTCTACACCAGCAAAGAGATTGCTGAAAAAGAATTAAGGAAATCAATACCACTTACAATAGCTGCCAGAAAAGTAAAATACTTGGGAAGAAATCTTACCAGGGACACAAAAGACCTATACAAAGAAAACTACAAAAGATTACTTCAAGAAACCATAAGAGGGCTACATAAATGGAAGAACATACCATGCTCATGGGTAGGAAGATTGAGCATTGTGAAAATGTCATTTCTACCCAAAGCAATCTATACATTCAATGCAGTCCCAATCCAGATCTCATCATTCTTTAAGAATATGGAAAAACCAATCACTAACTTTATATGGAGAGGAAAGAGACTTCGGATAAGCAAAGCATTACTGAAGAAGAAGAACAAAGTAGGAGGTCTTGCACTCTCGAATCTGAAAACCTACTATACGGCCACAGTAGTCAAAACTGCCTGGTATTGGTTTAATGGCAGACACATAGACCAATGGAATAGAATTGAGAACCCAGAAATTGATCCGTCGACTTGTGGTCAGCTGGTCTTTGACAAAGGGCTGATATCCATTAAATGGGGAACAGAATGTCTGTTTAACAAATGGAGCTGGCAAAACTGGATATCATTTAATTCATTTGCAGAAAAATGAAACAAGATCTGTACCTCACACCATACACAAAAACTAACCCCAGATGGATCGAAGACTGAAATATGAAACCTAAAACTATAAAGTTCCTCAAGGAAAAATTAGGGGAAAATATAGGAGCCCTAATATTTGGCATCAATAGACTATCAAGCATAACACAAAATGCACAAACAAGATAAACTACATGAATGGGACCTTCTAATCCTTAAATTTTTATGTGTTTCCAAAGACTTCTCCAAAAGAGTCAAAACAGAACTTACATATTGGGGAAAAATATTCGGCAATGACATATCTGACAAAGGACTTATCTCTAGAATTTATAGAAAACTCCAACACTTCAACAACAAAAAGACAAATAATGCACTTAAAAATGATCTCTTATCATCGGAAGTAAAAAAGAGTGCAGAAAAACAAGGGCATTGGAAAGCCATCAGCCCTAGGACATGATGGCCCTCAAGACCAGAGGAACCAGATGGTGCCCAGCTACCAATGCTCAACCATTCAGGACAGGATCAAAACTGGAGATCCTGGATACAGTGGGAGGAAAAATGTGGAACAAAATCCAAAAACTCAATAATGACCAGAATTACTGGTCAGATGGAGTCTGGTGAGACCCCCAATTCTATGGCCCTGTGATATATTCTGGGCCTAGAATGAAACTCACTTCCAGGGACTTGCTCTCAATAGTAAACAAGATGTACATGCAGATCACTCAACCCAGGGTGACACACCCACATACTCTGTGGAGATGCATCCCTTGGAGCAATCAACCCTGGGGCACCAGGCGGGCAACATTCCCTTGGAAGAAATGCAGGACACACAGAGTGCATAACTATGAGGGGCACGGGGTGGGGTGGGTGGTGAAACAAACAAATAAAGAGAGGAACCAGACAGTTCCATGGGGGGGTGGGACAGAAGACATGAATAGACAGTTCTTCAAAGGTGGTACTCAGGCAGCCAACAAACATGAAGAAATGCTCACGATAATTAGCCATTAGAGAGACGCAAATCAAAACAACAAGGAGATACCATCTTGCCCAGCACTAGTAGCTAAGTTCAACAAGACAGAAGATAACAAATGCTGGTGAGGATGTGGAGAGATTGGGACTCTCATACACTGCTGGTGGGAATGTCAAATGATACAACCATTGAGCAAAGCACTATGGCCATTCCTTAAAAAGTTGGAATTAGACCATTTAATCCAGCCATTCCATTACTAGGTATATATCCTAAAGAATTGAGAGCCATGACAAGAACAGATATATGCACAGTCACGTTCATCACAGCACTATTTACAATAGCAAAAAGATGGAAACAACCTAGGTACCCATCAACTGAAGAATGGATAACCAAACTATGGTACATAAACTCAATGGAATACTATGCAACCCTAAAGAATAATGTAGAATCTGCAAAACACCACATAATGTGGATGAACCTTGAGGATTTTATGCTGAGTGAAATAAGCTAATCACAGAAGGACAGCTATTGTATTAGTCCATAATTGTAAAAAGTCAAGGAAAAGTTTAATATGGAAGGAAATTTTCTTTGTTGATTACCAAGGGTGAGAGGGGAGGGGAGGAGACACTGTTAGATAGGTAGAGACAAGTATTGATTTGTGTGAGGAGAAGGGCAATGTACCAAATGTGAGTGATCAACATGGGGCACTGAGGAAGAAGACATAGAGAGGTGCATGGGAGGTATAGACAACAAAGACTAACTGTTTTGCACATATAGTACTACATTGTCAGTGAAGGCAAACATTGATATACATGACTATTAGGTATGTCTATGCAGGGGGGATTGTGCCCAAGACATTGGTAGGCAATGTTTCTACAAGTGTATTTGTATGTTCTGTAAGAATTTCCAGGTATATAGTAGATCTGACAAGGAACAAGGTTGTAGTCACTTCTTGACCAGAGCCTGCTACCCAAAAAGAGTGAGTAGTAGTTGGGTTGTGGGCTTGGGACCATAGTCACAGGTGACACCAAGCTCAATTGGCATAACATACTACACAAAACACTGTTCACATCTTACTTTGGCAAGTAGCAACTGGGATCTTAAAAGCTTGCAAGCAGCCATCTAGGTGCAACAATGGGTCTCTCCTCATCCAGAGCAAAGAAGAATGAAGAAAACCAAAGACACATGGAAACATTAGTCCAAGTGACTGGTATATCATGTGATCCTCAGCCTATACAACTATGAGACCAGGAGAACTGGATCGTGCCTGGCTACCACCACTTGGAGTAGGATCTATGTAGGAGATCCTGGGTAGAGTGAGAACAATGTGGAACAAAATTTAAAAAAAAAGGTGGGGGGGGGGCACCAGGTTTGCTGATCTGATAGAGCCTGCTGGAACCACTGAGACTATCGCCCCTAGCTGCCCTTCAGGTCTGGAATTGAACCCAGTACGATGGCTTCCAGCCAAACAAAAGAACATTTACATTAGGTAGATACATTCCTTGGAGAGGTCAATCATGGGAGAATAGAAGGGCTGTGTATGCACAGGGAGAGAGCTCGGAGGGCAGGAGTGCACAGAAGGGAAGGACACAGGGAAGAGGTAACTGTGGGAGGAAGTAGGAGGGTAGCTGTTGCATTGTGGGAAATTGCAGTCAGATGTCATGAGAAAGTGTATGTGAGCTGCTGTATGGAAAGTGAATTTGCTGTATAAACTTTCACCCAAATCACAATAAAAATTTAAAAAGAAAAATTTAGATTATTACTAATCCATGTAGCTGTATTAGTACATAATTAAGTAGATGAACAATGGTGTATCTTACTTAAAAGGTAATTCTTTTCTCTTCCTTTTTCCTGACTGTAGCACACAATTGGCTGTTTCTGTAGAGTCCTAAGACCTGCTCTGTGGGCCTAATGGTTAAGCATTGTTTTGGTTAAAACAATGTTTTGTATGGTATGTTATACCATTTGAGCTTAATGGTCCCGAGCCCTCAGGTCCAACTGCTCGTTCCCTCTGGGTAACTGGCTTTGATCAAGAAGTGCCTTGTCCTTTGGCAATTCTACATATTAATGTTGATCTTGTCTTTTAGGTTTTGATTTTGGTGTGCGTCAGAATGGTGAGCGGGTTAATCATGTCAACCTCCCTCCATGGGCACGTAACGATCCTCGTCTTTTCATCCTCATCCATCGCCAAGCTCTAGAGTCTGACTACGTCTCCCAGAATATCTGTCAGTGGATTGACTTGGTGTTTGGCTATAAGCAAAAGGGGAAGGCTTCTGTTCAAGCCATCAATGTTTTTCATCCTGCTGTAAGTGAAGCTTTGGAAATATCTAGTATTTATGTAAGATGTTGCTATTAGTTGCCATCAAGTTGTTTCTAACTCATGGCAACCCCAGATGTGCAGAGTAGAACTGCTCCTTAGGGTTTACAAGCTGTCCATTTAGGAAGCACATCTCCAGGCTTATCTTTCAAGGCACCTCTGCATGGGTTTAAGTCACCAACTTTTTTACTATTAGTTTAGCATTTAACCTTTTACGTCACCCAAGGACTGCTTGTATAAGATAGGACCTAAATACTTATAGGGTAACTTGTTATCCAAGATTCTCAAGTTTTATATTTTATATTTCTATAAATAAGATGTCATCTGTGTTGAAATGAGGTGGAGTCCCCAAGACTATGCCTAGGTTAGGATTCATCAGAAGGACTTACATGATGCAGTATGTAATCATACGTAATGGCTAACATTTATCACAACAAAAGGATACAAAGCAAAATCAGCAAAGGAAGAAAGGCTCATGGAAGAAAGTTTGGGGAAACCAAGCACAAACTTCTAATAGTCTGCTCCCAGTGAGTCTCAAACCCATGGTAAAAAAGATCTGATAATATGTTCCCATAAAGATTACAGCCTAGGATGCCCTATGGGGCAGCTCTACTCTGTTCTGTCACTGTGAGTTAGAATCTACTTGACAGCACCCAACACCACCACTAAACAAAGAATGTTTACTTTCCCCAGCAACAAATTGTGATAACATGTGTGAACTGTTGTCTACCAGAGAAACTCATTAGAGACGCAGAGTTTTACTGGGGGCTGTTAATGTAGGTACATTTGCCTAGCACATACTGAAATTCCAGACTTCTAGAAGGAAAGCAGGTGTTCAGTGTAAACCACATTGTTTGTACAAGCAGTTTAGGCAGAGTGAGCCACTCCAGCAGTAAGGGAATTGTGAGATCCAAGTTCCCAGATGCCAACCAGGAGCCTATCTTGCAAGTAGGCCTTTGTAAAGATAACAGTCTCAGACCTGCCATGTCAGGTCTCTTCTGCACACTGACCTACATACATGTTCCATTTTAAAATGGCAGAGAACATTTTATTACAGAAACAATATGTGTACCTTGTTAGAAAAATGTGCAAAATACATGTATAAATTGGAGAAGTAATTTAAACATCAACTTTGATATCCCCATTCATAAATAAATATTAAAACCACCTTTTAGACATTTAACTATACATACATATTATTATATTTGTATAATAATAATATTTTATAACCTTTTTCTCTCCTTCAACAAGAAATAATTACATAGTGTTAAAAATGTCCAAGTCATTAGATATTTTTCTGGACAATTTTTAGTGGCTACTTACTATTCTAAAATATGGCTATATAGTAATTTATTTAACTAATCTCCAGGTGTTAGAATTTAGTTAATATTTTTTTGCTATTAAAATTAATAATAACTGAGGTTATTTCTTTAGTACATCTTTATTTCCTCAGAGTAAATTCCTGAAAGTAGAATTGTTGCACTTTACCTATACATTTTTGAGGTTGCTAGTTGGGCTACCTTTAAAAAAAAAATCTTAGTTATTTAGGAAACATTTATTGAGTGCCTAATATATGTCGAGCATTTTTGGTTGGTTTTGGGGATGCAAAGTCAAATAGCACTGGCTAAGCAGGGTTTGGAGGGAAATTGATGAGCCTGGTTGTGGTACAGAATGAGGCCTGTAAAAGGAAATTACTCAAGGAGTGGGAGTTAAAAGTGCAAATTATTAAGAGAAAGATACTTCTTCATACTACCTAGTGGCTACTCAAAATAACAATAACAAGGACAACAGATTAATCATATGGGATTTAACCTCTTTGTTTTCAACTTTAAAATCAGGAGATGGAGTTACTTTGATCTTGGACTTCCTCTCCAATTGTAATTTTTTTGTGTGAATTTATCAGGTGTTTATAACAAATACAAATAAAATGCACACACAGGACCTACAGTAAAACACTCTAAATCTGGCTTAGGTATGGAGGAGATCTATTCCTGCAAAGTAGTTTGAAATAAAAATTTTTTAGACCATTTTGCTGAGTAGTTATTTGAGTACCTCTAAGATAATATAGCATAGTGCCTAAGGCACTTGACTGCTAACCAGAAGGCTGGCGGTTCAAACCCACCAGCCACTCCTCAGAAGGAAGATGGGGCAATCTATTTCCATAGTGATACTGCCTTGGAAACCCAAGGAGGGGTCACTATGAGTCAGGTGCGACTCAATGGTACGCAACAACAGCAACAAGATAATATAAATTAAGGTTCACTTTAAATTCTTTAAGAGACTTAACTTTCTAAAAGAGAGAATAAGATGTTTACTAAGGGCACAGTAGTAGACAATGCTATGGCAAAGTTTGTTCTGGAAAAGGTGAATAATGTAGCGTGACTGGTGATTCATAGTTTTATGTATTAGAGTAGTATAGAATAAAGGCAAAGCTTCAGGTATAATTTTCTAATTTTACTCATATTTGATCCTAAAATGTAACTTTGAGAGCAGTTAGGAATCTCCTTTACCAAAGAACCACATGGTGGCCAGCTAGCACTACTGAGCATTTTCATCAAAGATTTTGTAGAGGAATTCTGATGAAAAGGAGAAAATGCAGAACAGAATTTTGAATTTTGATGGAATCCAGACTTTATGGAGCTATAGAGCCTAGATGAACCCCTGAAACTATTGCCCTCAGATAATTTTTAAGCCTTAAATCATAAACCAAAAGATCCCCTGATGTGTTCTTAAAACCAAACAATAATTTATCTCAGTTAGTAAAGAATGTCTACCTTGATCTTCATGCTCTTTTAAGATCTATCTATATGGGATCAAATTGACAACAGCAACTCTAAAGATTAAGTAGGAAACTCAGGGGCAGTAAGTTAATGTTAATAGGGGAGGAACAACTCAAAAAAGGAAGGTGAGAATGGTTATACATTTCAAAGAATGTAATCAGTGTTATATGTAGAAATTGTTTAATTGGTCTATGTTCTGCTATATATATTCTCAACAACAACAAAAATAAAATTAAAAATATCAATTACTTCACTATGATCTTTGCCTATACTCCCGTACCATCTTTTCAGTTTCTTTCTTTCTTTTTTAATTGTGATACAAATATGCACAGCAAAACATTTACCAGTACAACAGTTTCAGTGACGCTGATTATATTCCCCATGTTGTACAGTCATTATCACTTTCCTTTTCCAAAGTATTCCATCACCATTAACATAAGCTTAATGCTAGCAAGAGCTCCCCCTTTCCACCTCCTTCCTACCCCTGGTAACCATTAAAATGATCTTTGTTGTTGTTGTTGTTATGTGCCGTCAAGTCAGCCCTGACTCATAGCGACCCCTCCTTGGGTTTCCGAGGCAGTATCACTACGGAAGTAGGATTGCCCAACCTTCCTTCCGAGGAGTGGCTGGTGGGTTTGAACCGCCAGCCTTCTGGTGAGCAGGCAAGTGTCTTAGCCACTATGCTACCAGAGCTCCCTGTATATTTGCTTATTTCACGTAAGTGAGATCATACAGTATTTGTCCTTTTGCCCCTGACTTACTTTGCTCAGTGTGATGTTTTCAGGGTTCATCTATGTTGTGGCATACATCAGGATTTTATTTCTCTTTACAGCTGTATGGTGTTCCATAATCTATATATACCACATTTTGTTTATCCATTTATCTATTGATAGACATTTTAGTTGTTCCACATTTTGGCTATTGTGAGAAGTGCTACAGTGAGCATCAGTATACAGGTTTCTGTTTGTGTTCCTGCTTTCATGTTTTCAATTATTCGTATATAAAATTTGTACAAAAAGTATCTTTATACTGAAATATTATACCAAGTAATTCTCATTTTACTGGAATTTTCTCACTTTTTCTCTGGGACTTTAGAACTTTAAAAAGGATATAGTGTATGCCATTGTTCTAGAAATTCAGTAAAATTCAATTAATGGGGCAAAACAAAGTATAGTGACTAAGTACAGTCTGAATTCATAACTGAATTCAAATCCTCACTTGCTGTGTGACCGTGGGTAAGTAGCTTAACCCCTCTGTACCTAACACCAATCTCATAAATGAGGAAAGAAATTCATTTAGGATAACACTTGACATATAATTAATGATAAATAAATATTAACTTTTAAAAAAGTCAAATAGAAGTGCCTTTGATCTTTATTTATCATTCACTAATACACTGAGTTAACTTAGAAAATGATACCATAGAATATAAAGCAGCACTACTACAAATAAATATAGAAGAGTTCCATTAGAGGATTTTCAATTACATTAAATCAAGTTGCCATTAAGATGACCCTGCTTAGCACAAACAGACATATGTATACCTGTGTTCATCACAGCACAATTCATTATAGCAAAGAGATGGAAACAACCTAAATGCCCATCAACGGATGAGTGGATAACCAAATTATTGTATAGCCACACAATGGAATACTATGCCACATTAAAGAACAATGAGGGATACGCGAATCATCTCACAACGTGAATGAACCTGGAGGACATTATGCTGAGTGAAATAAGTCAATCGCAGAAGGACGTGTACTGTATTAGTCCATTACTGTAAAAAGACAGGGAAGAGTTTTCTTAGGAAAGAGAACTCACCTAGTAGGTTACCATGATGGAGAGGGAAGGGGAGGGATCAATTTCAGTCCAGTTGGGGTCTGCACACTGACATGGGTTGGGGGAGGGATGTATGGGAAGGATATATGACCACCATAATAACATTAGGAAATGGGAGGACACTGAATCATGCATGTAAGAAATAGACGACAGATGCTAATACCAACCAATATGTCCACAATACCACATTGCCATTAACACCAAACACTAGGTTATACAGATAAACACATAAACACCTGATATGATCAGACAGGGGTCAGTGAACAGAAGTATACTCTAGACCAAGGATAGATTTGTTGTTGTTGCTGTTGTTATGTGCCGTCGAGTCAGCCCTGACTCATAGCGACCCCTCCTTGGGTTTCCAAGGCAGTATCACTACGGAAGTAGGATTGCCCAACCTTCCTTCTGAGGAGTGGCTGGTGGGTTTGAACCACCAGCCTTCTGGTTAGCAGTCAAGTGCCTTAGGCACTATGCTACCAGGGCTCCCAAGGATAGATTTAGCTGAGGCTAATCTTGTACAGACACCAGTGATACAAAATACCTGCAGTCCTTACAGAAACAATAGAAGACAGATACAGAGTAATCCCTCACAGACAACCAGACACTATGGGAGAGAGATCCAATAGATCTACTGCCTCAGGACCATAGTACTGGGGGACACCAGACTCAGTTGGCACAACAGAATACGTAAAAGCATTGCTGTACATCCTACATTGGTGAGTAGCAACTGGGGTCTTAAAAGCTTTCAAGCAGCCATCTAAGATGCAGCTAATGGTCTCCTAGCGTCGGAAGTGAAAAAGAACGAAAAAAAAAAAAAAACAAGGGCCTTTAGAAGCAATCAGCCCTAGGATACAACGGCCCTTGAGACCAGAAGACCTAGATGGTGCCCCACTACCAATGCCAATCACTCAGGAAAGGATCAAATCCAGAGATCCTGGATAGAGTGGGAGAGAAAACATTGAACATAATCCAAAAAAATCAATAATGACCAAAAACTCAATAATGACCAGAATTACTGGTCAGATGAAATCTGGTGAGATTCCCAATACTATGGCCCTAGAATACATTCTGCACCTGGAATAAAACTCACCCCCAGGGGCAGGCTCTCAGCCCAATAGATAACAAGATGTACACACAGATCACTCAACCCAGGATGACACACCCACATACTTTATGGTAATACATCCTTTAGGGCAATAGACCATGGGACACCAGAAGACCAACATTCAAATTGAGGAAATGCAGGGCAAACAGGAATGCATAAATATGAGGGACACAGAGGGAGGGTTACAGGGTAGGGAGGGGAGGAGACTGGGTTAGGATTGGACATGGTGAGTGGGGAATGGAACTAAATGTATGTGTTATGTTGAATGTAAAACAAGCTCTTAAAATAAAAAAAAAGATGACCCTGCTTAAATAAGTATTTATAACAATTTGATCCCTCATGGTGGTGGTGGGGGCGGGGGTCATGTTGAAGATTCATTTAACTTCAAAATGTCTTTAAAATTTTACTTTGGTACTTATAGAAATGTTATATCTAGATATGTAAATGAAACTTTGCTATGACTAAATGCTAACAGCTAAACTGTATAAATGCATGTACACAAAATATGGCAGATATATATCCAGCTGCTGACTGTTAGCTTTAAAAAAAAAAAGCAAGTGAAATGCACATCACTCTCCATCTCACTCTTCAAGAATGACAACCCTAACAAGACAGGTGTAATAACACTCTGTACATTAAAGAACCTTGGATCTTTGTTTGCGGCTATTTCAGATTCACTCACAGTTTTCATTAGAATCTAATTAATATTTCTTAAACTACCTACCAACACTGCATTTTAGCTTTATTTTTACTTTTATATTATTTTTGACAAGTGACTAGAGAATAAAGTAAGTTATTTTTCTTTTAGTATTATTGCCAAGTCTTACTTTATACATATCTCTTGTTCTCTTTTACTCTTCAGACATACTTTGGAATGGATGTCTCTGCAGTTGAAGATCCTGTTCAGAGACGAGCACTGGAAACCATGATAAAAACATATGGCCAGACCCCACGTCAGTTGTTCCACACAGCACATGCGAGCAGACCTGGATCCAAGCTCAGCATTGAAGGAGAGCTTCCTGCTGCTGTGGGGTTGTTAGTGCAGCTTGCTTTCAGAGAAACTCGAGAACAGGTCAAAGAAATTACCTATCCGGTATGTAACTTGGATTTCAGTAGAACTCAGCAAAAGCAGATTTAACTCCTGTCAGGCCAACTCCTCTCCCAGGTTCTAGAGGCACAGAATGAATAACATGGTCCCAGCCTGAAAATATGCACTAGTAAGAGACAGATGCATGTAGCTAGCAGCAATTTCTTGTGTATAGTAAAGGCTGTGTTAGTGACATGAAAAGAGTGCTTTTGGGAGCCCAGAGCACAAAGAATTGTTATGTCAATTCCTTCCTCAGGGCATAGAGAAGGGTTATTGCTGGGGAAAGCCTCACATCATAGGGTTATGACATTATAGGATTTTTGCAAACAAAAGGAGAGTGGTCCAGGAACAGAGAACAGTTGGAACATGGATGTGGCAGTGTAAGCAAAAGCAAAGGCCAGAAGTGGTCATGTTTTGGTTTATATTTAGGGAGGAAATCATATGTATTTATTTGTCCACCTCAGATTATAATACTAAAAAGTAATAGCTCTAACAATAAGAAAAACAAAAAACCAAACCCACTGCCGGTGAGTCGGTCCTGACACATGCAACCCCCATTGGGTCTCTGAGGAAGTAAATCTTTATAGAAGTACATTACCCAGTCTTGCTTCTGTGGAGTAGCTGGTGGGCTTGAACTGCCAACCTTCTGGTTAGCAGTCAGATGCTTTAGTCACTGTGCTCCTTTCTCTGACAATAAGAAGTAGGTATAATTTTTACTTTGAAATAAAAAATAAACCAAAGCCTTACAAGTAAAATGGATTTTAATCTTCGATTAAATCTTTCATTATAAAGCAGCATAAGATGGGAGAATGTGAAATGTAAAGTGGTATAAAGGATTTGCAGAAGAAAAATATCAGGAAATGAAAAGGCAAGGGGAAAGTGGTAGTAAAGGGCCTTAAAGATTAAATAAAGCAGTATGATCCATTTTTGGAGAAGGAAGTTTTCATAGACCTTGTTTTGACAATTTTTTCATATAATAATATGATAGATATATCAGACACCACTAGATGTAGCACCCTTTGTGCTCATGCTCACATATACCAAATTTTCGTGTTAAATATAAACAAAACTTATAAAACTAGTAAAATTCAAACTTAAACCATTAATATGGTAGAGAAATGTTTTCCTGGAACTTACCTCTTCCATTGTTTTTCACTGACAACTCTTTTTAATCTAGCTCCTATAGCACTTGTTATGGATATTCCATGTTTAGCATGCAGTGGCCTCTATGTGGTCCTCTCAATGTGCTCTATAGATGAATATTTTTCCTTCACTCATCAAACATCTATTGAGAACCTACTGTGTGCTAGCACAATGCTAGGTGCTAAGATACAAAGATGAGTTAGAGGTATTCCCTGTCTTCAAGAAACTCACAGTTGAGTGAGGTTTTCTGTGCTACGTGTGGTCTTGATTTCTTTTTCTTTTTATATTTTATTATGCTTTAGGTGCAATTTTACACAGCAAATAGTTTCCCGTTCAACAATTCATACACAGATTGTTGCGTGACATGTGTTGCTGTCCCCACAATGTGTCAGCACTCTACCCATTTCTACCCTGGCTTCCTTGTTTCCATCCCTCTAGTTTCCCTGCCCCCTTGGCCTTCTTATTTTTGCTTTGGGGCAAATGTTGCCCATTTGGCTTCATATAATTGATTGTTCTAAAGAGCATATTCCTCTCAGATGTTACTATGTATTTATGGGCCAATCTATTATATGGCTGAAAAAGGTAACCTCTGAGAGTAGCTTCGGATCCAGGTTAAAAGGGTGATTTAGGACGATAATCATGGAGGGTCCTCTAGTTTCTGTCATTCCCATAAGCCTAATCTTTTCTATGAATTTGAGGTTTGTTCTACATTTTTCTCCCATCCTAACCAAGACTTTCTCTTGTGTCTCTGATCAGAAAGGTCAGAAGTGGTAGTTGGGTACCATCTAGGACTTATGGTGTTAGACTAGAAGAGGCTGTGGTTTGTGTGGGCCATTAGTCCTGTGGACTAATTTCTTCCTTGTCTTTAGTTTCTTTCACTCTCCTTTGCTACAGATGAGAAGAGACCAATAGCTGTATCTTAGATAACCACTCTCAACCTTTTAAAACCCCAGATGCTACTCACCACATTAAGATGCAAACATTATCTTTATTAACTATTTTATGCCAGTTGATCTAGGTGTCCTCTGAGATTATGATCCTTAGCCTTCAAGCTCAGAAACTCAGTCTCATGAAGTGTTTGGTTATGTCTAAGAAGTTTCCATAGAGGTTTGGAAGATGGTGTCATACTTGTAGCCCGCACATATGTTCCCTCCAGCATCTTAATGCCTGAAAAACTAGGTGTAGCAGTTTGAAGCAGGGATTCTTGAGCTGTCAACAGTTCATTAAGTTAGAGAAGGACAGATTTAGTGAGAAAGGAGAGGGGGGAGGAAAGAAAGGGTTGGGGGAGAGGGTAAACAGCTAGGAAGAATAACTTTCCCTTCAGCATGTGAGATGGAGCAATGGAGAGCTCTCTAAGCAGTGAAGTGGGAACACCAGGAAGCCAATGGAGGCTTCGGGGACTCAGACTGCCCGCAGCAGCAGCTTCTGACAGTAACTTTGGGAACTGCACTGGATGGATGGGCAGCATTTCTGAGAAATGAGCAGAGACCCCTCTGGCTCAGGTCACCACTGAGTTAGAAGCAGAAAGGGAGAAGTCAGGAAACATACCGCAGGTAAGCAGGCCCTGTGACAAGCTCATGGCACGGGGCTGGGGTCCAATTCTTCCAGGACAGCTTTTTAGCATAGAGGGGTCTAGAGTATGGGGGTTTTATGGCTGTCCAACCCAGGTGGAAAGTAGTGGTCCCCTAACCATTGGAGTCTTTGCCAGTTTTGAACCATGGGTCTGTGAGTGGCACTAAAATGTCATCATTGGCAGCTGACCGAAGCAGATTCAAAATGCTGAAACCAACAGTAACCATGGAAACACAGAAAGTGGGGACACGCTACTGGTGCCTTGAGGTTTCTTTCTTTTCTTCCTTTTTCCCCTTCTCCCCTGCCTCACCCAATAGAAGAACCACATTAAGCCACCACAACACCTGCTCGTCCCAACTCTAATCCCCTTCACGATGAACAGAGATCTGCATCCACATTCCCCACAGTGATGCCATCACCACAAAGAAAACTGCAGAGCAACCCAGCACACCTGAATTAAGAACCAAAAAAAATTATATATATACACACACACACACACCTTTACCCTTGCAAAAATATTTAAACATAAAATCAAGGCAAAACAAATCAGTACATACCTAACAGTTAAAGACAACAACTTCACAATGTCTAGGAAGCAAAAGACAACCTTGAATCAAACAAACAAATAAAACAGGATAAGGTGATAGAAATAAAATCCCAAACAAAAATCTCATTAAGCACAGAGGAAGAGGAGGCAATAGAATTATCTGAGAAGGAATTTAGAAGATATGTTTATAGAACTCTACAAGAGCTTAGTGAAACCTCAAACAGAACCAAGGAGAACACAGACAGTACTCTGGAAGAACTCAGGAAAATCATTCAAGAGCAAAATAACAAGATCAATACACAATCAGAACTCATACAAAAACAGCAGTTAGAAATCCAGAAGATGAACACTAAAATTATGGAGATAGATAACATAGCGGAGGAACAAAAGAGTAGACTAGAATTGGCTGAAGAATGCGTTTTCCAGCTAGAAGATAAATGCCTTGACACCAGCCTGTATGAAGAAAAATCAGAACAGATTCAAATGGAGTCTCATCAGTAAGCACCACGCTATTTCTCTCTAGCATCTCAGTGCTTGAAAAACTAGGTACAGCAGTTTGAATTAGGGATTTTGGTGCTCTGAACAACTCACTGAATCAGAGTGCACCAAACACAGAAGAGTACAGTTAGAGGAAAGGCACAGGGAGATTATTTAAGAAAGATCTACCTGGAAGAGGAGGGACGGGCAGCCGAGAGAGGCCATTGGAATCTTCCCTGGGGCAGTCACTGCCTGGCGGGCAAGGGCGGCCACCTGAGATCTCAGTGAGCCAAGAAAAAAGACACCCTATATCAGCATACCAGCAACCACTCCAGCATACCAGCAAACAGCCCCAAGGATCTGCCTCCAGCACCTGATTTTATCGATAACTTGGGTTACCTAAGTGCAAACGGGTGCATGCAGCACCACTGAAACTCAAGCGGAGAGCTCATTGGTGCTCCAGGAGGGTGAGCTCGCTCCCCCCTCAGCAGGTCACTGAGTGGGCTTGGGTCAGCCTGGGAGACATTGAGAGGTCTGTACTTGTATTTGTCACTGATATCGGGACCACAGTTTACTAGCAGGTACTCTCCCTACTCCAGCACAGCTGAAATCATGCGCATCTTTGGCGCCGCAGGTGGGCGGTATCACAGACAAGCCATTCGCAGTCTAGGGGGATTGCGCTAGTGCTGTGGGCAGATGGAGTGGGGAGAGAGAAGCTGTGGCTGAGTGCGGTCCTGGGAATTTGCCTTGGATCAGCTTTTTGGCACAAAGGGGCCCCGGAACAAGGTCTTTGAGTGTGCCTGAGCCTGGCGAAAAGTGGCAACTCCCTAACAACAGGAGGAATCTTTTCTGAGATTGAGCCACAGGCTTGTAAATCATTCTGTCATCAGTAACAGCCCACGCAAAGCCCTAGAAACCAACCTTAGCAACACCAAGCTTTCCTTCTTCTGCTCCCACCTTCTCCGCCAATAACTTCACTCATTCAATAGAAGAAACCATATTCAGCCAATTACCATAAAACCTCCCACTTCGAACTCTAAACCCTCTTTACGACAAGCAGAAACACATATCCACATTCCACACGGTGATTCCACCATCACAAAGAAAACAGCAGAGCAACTCAACATAACTGAATCAATAATAAAATAAAATACATCAGCTTCACCTTTTCAAAATATTAAACCATAAAAACAAGACAAAACAAATCAACACGTAACCAGCAGCTAAAAACAACCTCAAAATGTCTAGCAAACAACAGGCAACCTCA